TGCGCAGACTGATAGGATGCTGGGAACCACTTGAGGTGACAGTCAGTTGTTTAAATAGTTCTTTGTATGACCTTTTGATATAAAAGCTTTTTTCTCCCATTATTGTGGAGCTTTGTGTCAGTCTAGAAGCACTTTTGTAAGGTGCATTATTTTGCAGTGTGAGGCACTAAAAGAATACGTTTTAATTGTTGCCACACCCTCTGCCCGCATGTTGCGCGCTACTGGCAGAAAATTATGGGTCCTACTGGAGTTAAGGATAGAACTGCTGCAATTGGTCTGCTAAACCACAAAGTTTGGCTTTAGGCATGACGAAATTAAAAATAGTTATGTTTAGGTTTGTTATGATTACAGATTGTTGGGGTTAGGTGAAACTTTGATGTGGTTAAGGTTTGGGCTGGACTCGCATCTTTGCCCATAGCGACAGTGGGATGCATAATGAGACATAACTAATCACTTGGATTTGAAGAGCACACCACTGGTTTGCAGGCTTAGAGCACCGTGATATACTCAGATTGAGTTAAGTTGGTATTTTATAACTGGGACTTGGATCACTTTATAGACAGCTCTTGCGTTTAAAGTTCTGGTGAATGTCATGACTCTGTATTAAAAGTAACTGTAAGTCTTCTCTGTGAAACTGTAATGGATATTTAATGGATTTTTTGTCTTGCATAATGCACTCTTCAGTCCAGAAGGAATCTGATGAGGGATGGGATTTTGGTTCCTGGTAATGTAACTGAAGTGAGGTAGGAGTGAAGTGAGATAAAATAAATAGGAATCAAAAGCCATTACCATTATCAAGGCGCCGGTGCCCGTCAGTCTCCACTTCGATCTCCATATACCCACAACTCAGCAAGGCAGTTGAAGGTCCCTTTATTGCTACAGTGTCTGACATGAATCACACTGCGCCAGGCTACGTGTCAAGCTGTTAAATATTTCAGCTTCCAGACACCCCCCATCAAGGATCCCAGACCACGGTGCAGAGCTGCAGGCAGCTGACAGCCAGGTTAGGTATTCAGTGGGGTGCATGCATTCAGGCTTCAACGGTATTGACCACATACACATTGTCCACCTCACTAACAAGACAGATTGTCTTAGTAGTCTGTAGTGAGCAATACAATACCTTCTAAAAAACCAGAGCAGAGCGTATTTTTCACAATCCACTGTAACACTAT